ACGGGAAACACATGAGGACTTTTACGCTAGACATGAACCAACAGGCAAGACGTTAAACTGAACTTATAAAAGACGTCCATAATATTTTCTCTGAGCATGTTTTCAGAGGATAAACCATCAAGTTTGATGGCTTAGGCTAGCGACAGAAAAGGAACAAATCCTAAACAGTGGATTTGCAGAGTGGGAGCAATTCTCTGGGGGCCGCCGCTGGTCAGCTCGACCTCTGCCTGCCTCCGGGGCTCAGAGCTGGAGCCAGTTTGGTCCAGCCAGCTGGACCCCAACAAAATGCTGGCCTTGCAGAGCTATTGGTTGAACAGAATCGCAGCACATGCCTGAGGGGCTTTACATAGCCCTCCCACCCCCACACTCACACACTCACAGGACCCTATCATCTCTCATTGTTTTAAATGTCCTGAAAACTGAACCCAATTCGAACAGGACAAGAGGGGCTTGCCTCTCAGTTTACTGGGTTTGGGCCCAGTCAGCTCTTGGTAAGAGCAGGAAGACAGGACAGACACCAGACGTTCATCCATCATCAGACTCTGATCCGTTCCCCCAGCGGGGGAGACAAGCCAGAGCACAGATGATTCGTAAGCTCTCCATCACTGGGGTGTGGATCAGAGGTACGGACAGGGCCAAGCACGTTTAGGAAAGAAAGGGGGAAAAAAAAAAAAAAGGAAAGGCAGAGAAGAGAGGGGGAGGAAGGGAGACACTAACTCTGTTCTTCCTTCACCTTTCAAAAAAGTCCATCCTGACCCAGATGCCAGGTGAGGGTCTGAGAAACCAGGATGAAGACACAGGATTAGGAAAAATCGAAGAGTTGGAGAGGTAAGGGCTGGGGGGAGGGGGAGCTTGAAGACCCTCCCTGTTTAGCTGCTGCAAAGAACCACAAGGGGGAAAGTGCTGGGAGTCTGGGAGGCCTGGTCCCAACTCTGGTCACATGTCACTGCCTCCCCCGAGCCTCCGGGATGAGGGGACAAGGTGGGACCAGCTTCTGTGGACCCTCGGCTCTGCCCTTCAATGACTCAATACTGCAATTACCCCACCATGTGCCCAAGGACAACCCGCCAAGCAAAATAGGGCAGGAGAGACACTACTTCTCCTGTGGTCTCTTCTTTCCCGCCACACCACAAAGAAAACAAACAGCAGACACTTACCACATGCGTTTGTCCGAAAGAGCTCGCCTTGGCAGAGTCCTGGCAGAGGCTGGGCCCTGACGGGCTGCCCGAACCGAAGTACCAAGGCCATGTACAGAAATCCAATCCAAAAACAATTCAGAGAGAAAGGGGATTCTCTGTGAGAACCCCAGCACGAGCAAGACCTCAACACAGCCACCCCGCTGTGCCTCCCTCAGCAGCTTTCTCAGTTTGCTTGTTGGGGCAAATCCCAAGATTGTGGCTGCTCTGGAGGCACAATGGGTTACCTAACTCCAGGCAGCCTGGGCACCCTATCGGCTCATCTTGTTAAACCGCCCCAAAGAGAAAATGACGCACCCAAAATGTGATATCCTTAAGTTGTGGGGGTGGAGGGGGCAGGGGAGCAGGGCTTTGTGCTGGACATTGGGCTTTGCCTGAAAATGAAAAAGGAACAAAAGGTCTGCTGTTCACCTCACTGTTCACTGGGAACTGGGGGCGGAGGGTATTTACCGGAGGCCTGATGCCAAGTGGGCTCCCGGGACTGCACTTGGCAAAGCCCCTGGAGGCGGAGAGGCATTCTTGGGGACACTCCAGGTCTCTCTGAGAATAGTTTGCACTATTTCGATGACCCTGTAGTAAGACTTGAACCTGCACCATCCGGCCATCCAGCACCTTGACCATGAAACAGGGTCTGTGCTCACAGTCCTGTTCACTCAGCCGCTGCCAAGTGTGACAGCGCTGAGCTCTGCGGCTCAGCTGTCCCCCATCGGCTTGCCACCAACATCCCAGCAAAGAGCCTCCAGGCACCACGCCCTTTGGGGTTTGAAGTTCCGGCACCACATTCGACCATTTCCTTGTCCTCAAGTTGTCACGTTCAGAGAAAGTGAAACTACTTCAACAGGCTGGATGTTTCCTGGATTTCGCTGGCACAGATGCCACTGGAAGCCCAGGGGTTAGTTCACATGCTTGTACAAGTGAGAACAGAGTTGGGACACTGCCTCCTCCAGGAAGCCTTCTGGGTCCTCCCACAAACTTTTCCCTCCCAGGCTCGGCCAAGCACTCCTCTTAGTGTGCTCCCATATGCCCATGCTTATCGCTATGCTAACTGCGGCGCACCATCCATTTTCACTCATTCATCTGACCACCCCACTGGACTGTATTCCTGGGAGGTCCAGAACTCCTGTCCTGGGGTCATGACATGCACTCCAATCTCACCCCTCAAGCTCAAGGATCTTGGGCAGGATGCTGAACCTCTCGTGATTTAGTCTCTCTACCTATAAAAAGGGGATAAGAGACCCCTCTTGTCAAGCACTGGCTGCATGAGGTATGATTTTAATCACTGGGATTCAGGGCTGCACAAAGTCCTTGCCCTAAAATACAAACATACAGTAGTAACTCATGACTAAGTCTGGGGAGGAAGGTAAGGCAGGAAAAAGAGAAGGGGAAAGGTAGCAGTGGATCATTCTTTGTTCAGGGCAGTCACAAAATGGCCTCTAATGAAATCCCCTTTGGAGAAAGTGAAAAGGGAATCATGAGGACATCAGGGGTATGGCGATCCAGGTGCTGGGCAGCAGCAAAAACAAAGGTCCTGAGGCAGCACATTCCTGGTGAGTCCAAGGATTAGCAAGGAGGCCAGTGTGTCTGGGGTGGAGTGGGCACAGAGGAGACAGTCAGAGAGGTGGGAAAGCCCTGTCACTTAGACCTCCACTGGCCATGATCCGATAGGAGCCCACTGGAGGTCTGGAGCAGATGAGTTAAAGGAATCATCTGACTGTGTGTTTAAAAAGCCTCACTGGTGGGTAGACGGAGAACAGACTGCACAGAAGCAAGCCGGGAAGCAGGTGGCCCAATTTGGAGGCCACCACAATAATCCAGATGTAAGAGGAAGGTGGCCTAGGACAGGGTAGATGCCGTGGAGCTGGTGAGAAGCCATAAAATTCTGGACACACTGAAGACCAAGCCAACAGACTTCCCAGCAAACTGGGGTGTGAAAGAAATACAGAGGTCATGAATGCCTCCAAGGCGATTGGTCTGGGCAACTACAAGAACAAAAGTACCATTTATAAAGACAGGGTAAACCACAGGAAAAGCAGGCCAAAGTGGGAAAGGATTCACTTTTAGCTATTCAAGTTTAAGATGCCCACAGGCACCCAAGGGAAAGATGTTGTATATGGCTTTAAACCAACATGTCTGGCCTCCAGGGGAGAGGATTAGTCTGAGGACAGGAGCTAGACAGGGGTCAGCGTTGGGCAGATTCTAAATCCTGGAGACTGGGGGAGATCACCTGTGGCACTAGTGCTGATGAGAGAGGGAGGGGCTAGCAGGACTAAGCCCCAGGCCCTCCAACATCCCCAGGATCCCAGGATTGGGAGGAACAACAGCCAGCAAGGTAGGAGAACAGGAGAATCAGGGAGCCAAGGGAGGACCAGATTTCCAGAAGGGAGTGCTCAGCAGTGTCAAGCCCTCCTGAAAAGGGAAGAAGATGAAGCCAATGGATGGACCCCTGCACTGACAAGGCCTTCAGTGCTAGGGGAATGGTAGGCTCACACCCTGCTCGCCCTGGCTACAGGTGAGCACAGAAGAGAAACTGCAGTGAGCACAGACAGGAGCAGAGACATGGGTACCGGCCGTGAGGACCACAAGCAATTCTCTTCATGAAGGGAGAGATCATAGCATGTTTCTGTGCTAAGAGGAGAGCTCCCCGAGCAGGGCGAAATGGATGACGTGGAAGGAGAGGAGCTGCAGGAAATGTCTCCTTCCAGAAGTAGGCAGGCCAGCAAGGGTGGGATTCAGGGCACCAGCAGACAGAGGGCCACTCGTGGGGCAGGAACTCAGCACAAGGGCGAGGCCCCCAGGCTGGGATCCTGGGCCATCCCCCTGGCCCACTATACTTGGGACACTCCTGACATACAGGAGGTCCCCCACGCTTAACTGTGAGACAGATCCATGGAAAGCTACTGGAAGCAAATCTGCACATTTTCAGCTGTCACTGGGTGTTATTTCAAACAGGAGGAGAAAAGTAGACACTGCGGACAAAACGAGAACTGGGGTGAACTTTGATATGAAGGCATCTAGAGGTGACTCTAACAACACTCCTTGCTGCTGTCTGAGCTCACCAGCCCACACCACATCTGCTCGGAGCCCCGCCAAGCACTCATCCCCATGATCCCTGGGGGCGGGGGTACAACAAGCAAGAGCTCCAGTGGGATGAACTCTGCTCCTGGGCCGCGGGGAAGTCAGGACAGCTGCAGGCACATGTAAGACGCTAGCTAAGCCAGCCTTGGCAGCAGACGCCGGGCACCAGGACCAGCTCCCCATGTTTGCATCCCCGCAGGGCAGCGCGAGTGATTTCCATTCCACCTGCCTTTATGCAAGAATCAGAAACGGAGCCTCCGCGAGAGGAGCAGGAGCCAAACTACACCCAGCATCACTACAGGCCAAGCAAGCTGCTCAGGGTTCAAAATTCCCATCCTTGGGGCACCTGGGTGGCTCAGTTGTTAAGCATCTGCCTTCAGCTCAGGTCACGATCACACGATCTTGGGATCAAGCCCCCGCATCAGGCTCCCTGCTCAACGGGAAGCCTGCTTCTCCCTCTTCCACTCCCCCTGCTTGTGTTCCCTCTCTCGCTGTGTCTCTCTCCGTCAAATAAATAAATAAAATTACGAAAGAAAATTTCCCATCCTTAACCTCCAGGGCAATTCTTCATCTCATGTTGGGTCTGGATCGTGGCTCTCGCCATCCCAAAGCTCAGACCCTCCGCACTCCACTCGTCCTCCCTGGTCCTTCACACCTCCCCGCACTGACTCCTGTGGCCACACACACCCGTGCCCCCCACCCTGCCCCAGGCAGGAAAGGCCCCCTTACCGGTGATGGTGCAGGCATCCCGGTACCCTCTGCAGCTGGGAGCATCTTCCACAGCCTCGCTTACATAGTGCTCCTCAGGGATGCCCGGGCTGCAGACTAGGACTGCATGGCTGCACGCCTCCAAAGGGGGCACAGAGTTGGCCGAAGTGTCGTCGTGCGGAGCTGTGGCGTCCAGCTTGGCAGGTTTCACGGGGAGGTGCCCACTGCCATCGGGGGCCCCGCTGCCGGAGTCTGGGGCAGTCAGGTGGACAGCCCCCGGTAGGTGTGGTGCACCAGCAGGGGCTCCTTACAGGAAACCTAGGGGACAATCCAGACAGAAGAGCAGTTAGCGGAGCTTCTGAAAAACAACAGTAAAATAAGGGCCCTGAGATGATGTGGGTTCAGATCACAAATTCTGCAAACCAAGGCATTTCCCATCAAATTCTTCATTTCTGATAAAAGAAACAGCACAGTGGAGCTTTCCAGAGACCACCTGATGTAGGGTGACACCTGGCCCTGAAGACTTATTAATGGAATGTGTCCTTCCGTATAGCTGTGACTTAAATATCCATTTTGATTTCTAATACTAATTCATATAATCAGTATAATGCCTATGAACAAAAGCTCCTTGTGATCATCAATAATTTTTTAAGGGATCCTGAGACCAACAAAGTTTTAGAATTACTGCTCCAGTATAAAGTTTTTTTTTTTTTCATTAAGTATAACAACCAGTATAGTTGTTTTTTTTTTTTTATATATTTTATTTATTTGTTTGACAGAGAGAGAGAACACATGCAGGGGAAGCGGCAGAGGGAGAGGAAGAAGCAGACTCCCGCTGAGCAGGGAGCCAGAGGCAGGGCTCCATCCCAGGACCCTGAGATTGTGACCTGAGCCAAAGGCAGAGGCTTAACCCACTGAGCCACCCAGGCGCCCCCCCCCTTTTTAAATAAGAAAGGAAACAAAAAGAGGGGGAAGCTAACAGACATTTTACCCAATACCAACACAGCACAGTAGGTTGTGACAGAAAACTACAGCCCTAGATCTGTGAACTTTTCCCTCCACAAGATGTTATTTACCATACTACGCCAAGAGTTCCTACTAGATATAAATGCATTCAGCCCTCATTAAAGTGAACACACAACTATCAAGTGGGAAGGAGTGGGGGAGCCTGTGGATCCCTGGTGAAAAGTGAAAGGTAACCAGAGATAAAACTGGACTGTGACATCTAATTAGTGATTCAAATACAAATGGGAAGCCACCTGGTAAGAAAAAGCCTGGAATTCCCAAGCAGGACCCCAAAAATATTGTAGGCTGCAGCGGCCTACGGAGGAGGACCAGGAGACCTCCAGAAGTGACCTGTGAGCCCACTAAGCTACTGTTCTATGCAAAGATAACAGAAAGACATTGTCAGACACGTAAAAGCTTAAAGATTTGATCCCTGACACTCCTAGAGAAGCTCCAGCCAGGGAAGCCCACCGCACCTTACAGGCTCCCACTAGTGAACAGATCAATGGAAAGAACTCAAAGGGGAGGAGTGCCTGCTTATATAGTTAAGAATAGCAGTGAAATTAAGCCAGGGACACTGAGAATTAAGGTCTAAATAATGCACACGATTCACAAGCCTCACAGCTGAAAAGGGGGGGAAAAAAAAAGATCAAAGGATTTATAGATTCTCTAGTCCCCAAAAAAGAAATACACAAACACACACACTAAACAATATTAAGGAACCTTAATAGCGGTCCAAACAAACAAAAACAAAATCTCTATCAGACGGACAAAGATTTAAAAATTATAAAAAGGTTCAATTTGGCAAGACTTTTAAGAAACAGTTTTAGGCGTTACTTGGGGTGGGAGGGGTAGTAATAAATTCAGGAGGGCAGCCTGGCTGGCTGTGGGCCCAGGATGTTTACCACGGTGAAATACTAACAACAACCCAACTCTGCCACAGAGAGTGGGGGTGAGGGGTTCAATTACAGCTCCACCAGAGACAAGGCAACCATGCCACCCTGAAAAGAAGCTTCAGGGCCCAGGTGATGTCATCACCATGGGAAGACACCCTGCCCAGAGGGAAGGGAGAGGATGAACACGGCCTTCCAAAAGTTTTAAATCCGCTAACAGACTGAACCCTCAATGTATCCTTTTTTTTTCTTTTTTTTAAATAAGGGGTCTCAAATATACAGATTTCTTAAAGACAACTTCAACCATGGATTATACAACTTTTGCTTTCAAGGTCCATAAAGTGAAGGGTTTGGCAGAAATCCTGGTGATTACGAGCCCTAAACTGATACTGTCCTGCCTCCTGGCGCCTTTGCTTCAATTTATAGTAGTTCTACCCTCACCCCAGGAACATACTGTTATAAAACAAATAGTTCCAGGGGCGCCTGGGTGACTCAGTCAGTTAAGCGTCTGCCTTTGGCTCAAGTCATGATCCCAGGGTCCTGGGACTGAACCCCATGTTGTGCTCCCTGCTCGGTGGGAAGCCAGCTTCTCCCTCTGCCCCTCCCCCTGCTCATGCTCTCTTTCTCTCTCTCTCTCTCCAATAAATAAATAAAATCTTAAAAAACAAATAGCTCGGGCGCCTGGGTGGCTCAGTGGGTTAAGCCTCTGCCTTCGGCTCAGGTCATGATCTCAGGGTCCTGGGATCGAGGCCCGCATGGGGCTCTCTGCTCAGCGGGGAGCCTGCTTTCTCCTCTCTCTCTATGCCTGCCTCTCTGCCTACTTGTGATCTCTCTCTCTCTGTTTCAAATAAATAAATAAAATCTTTAAAAAAAAAAAACAACAAATAGCTCAAGTAAGTATAAGCACTTTCTAAAAAACACAGTTTGGACACATCAGCAAATGCTCACTCAAGCCTCAAACGGGAACACAAGGAGCCATTTTGAAGCACAAAGTACACTTATTATGGTCTGCAACTGGCAAAGCCCTCAGAAGCTTGAGAGGCCTCTCTTTTTTAAGTAGAACAGAACTACTCCAATTTATTTTCTCATCTCCAACCCCAGTGAAAAAGAATTAAGTACATAGGTACGGGCATTCACATGCACGCCGCACCTGAGGTACATCATATCCCATAATTTGTGAATTTTAATGCTCACCACATGACTTTCTTTGGTCATAATATTTTTGGTTTGTTGTGGTTAAAAAAAAAAAAAAATACCCACGTAACACAAAATGTACCTTCTTCACCGTTTCTAAGCATAAAGCTCAGTAGTGCTGAGTACCTTCCCATCGTGGTGGAACCAATCTCCAGAACGCTTTTCAGCTTGCAGAAATGAAAGTGCACTCATTAAACAGCCCCCAGCCTCCTCTCCCGCCACAACCTGGCACCACCACCTACTTTCTATCCTATGAATTCCCTACTCTAAGTGCCTCATGTGAGTAGAACCATAGCATGTCTTTTTGCAAATGACTTACGTCACTTAGCATAATATCCTCAAGGTTTATCTGCGTTGGAGCATCTGTTGGAATTTCATTCTTTCTAAAGGCTGAATAATATTCCACTGTACTGAGAAGCCCTTCTTGAAATGAAAAGACCAATCTCTCGCCCATTAAAGTCAAATGGAAAACAACCTGAACTTCTACAAACACAAAAACAGTTACAGGGATGCCTGGGTGGCTCATTCAGTTAGGCATCTGAGCCTTCCGCTCACGTCATGATCCAGGGGTCCTGGGATAGAGTCCCACATTCGGGCTCCCTGCTGCAAGGAAGCCTGCTGCTCCCTCTCTCACTGTGTCTCTCTCTCTCAAATAAATAAAATCTTTTTTAAAAATAAATAATTAATTTAAAAAAATAGTTACAAATCGCAGCCAACCCAATTTTAGTATATGTGCTGCCGAAGCGAGCACATCGCAGCCAACCCAAACCACTGAAATTCTGGAAGAGGAGCTAATGCACCTAAGACACACGCCTCTGTGCCCGGCACATCTAACATTCTCAAAATAATCACAGATTTGCAAATTCGACCATCCTATTCAGGAGCCAGCATCTCCCATACTATTTCACTGCGAAACCTTTCTCCACATGGTACCCAGTTGCCAGGCGTTTACCTAACGGAGTTTACTTTGGGAAAAGCCTCTTGTGTCTGACTCAACCCCCCTGCCCCCATCCTCCTGTCTCCCACACACTGTGAGCATCTTGAAAGTCCCGGCACCTGCTGGGTACTAAGTAAATATTTACAGAATAAACAGTCATGAGTGAGGGACAAGGGATTTGGTCCCAATGACTCTGAGGATCTCCTGAAGCTACAAAGTGGTAGTTTGAGGATCAGTGTTGTGGGAACCCCATCACAAGTCACAACACCACTACTGACCTTGAGGAATCTCTCGGAAGCGCGTCTGCAGTGCTGTTGGGGGGGGGGGGGGGTTGTGAAGATCACACCCTGTGGGCTCTGCAGGAGGGCGCCTATCGAACCTCCTTCCCATTACTAACTGATACACACCAAGTGTGATTTTGTGTAAGATCAACCACACACAACAGCTCAGGAATCAGGAAGCCTAACCCGGAAAACCCTCAAGAGCTGGCTTGCCAGTTCCTCACCCAGTTTCTAGGTTGAAGAAACTCAGAGCATGAGTCCTGTCCCCGGCCCCCAACCCCAGGGAGACCTCAGGGATGGTGGGGGAGGGGTGACGACGCTTCTCTCCTGCCCCTAAGTGCAGCTGGGCAGCCAGTCCAGGAGTGCTGTGAGAGACACCGTACCGTTTCAAAAATAGTTTTCCCAGAACAGTGGTTTATCAGCGCTTTTACTCATAATGCAGTTTTCTGCTGGGGACTCTAAGAGCTCAAGGATCAGAAATAAAGAGAGCCAGGCACCCAATCAGACTCCAGAACCAAGTGGCCACTGCAAAGGAGGCCACCCAGCAATGTGACCCCAACAACCCCAAAGCAACATTTGGGGGGGCAGGGGGGAGAGAGGCGCTCCTGTATGTCCCAGAGCCTCAGAGGCCTCCTCTCTGAGGCAGTAATACCCACATCTCTTAGACTGTTAAACAGATTATAGACACGGATGTAAGTCTTTATAGCCAGCACTGTGCTAATCACACAGCAAACCCTCCAACTTTACAAATCCCCAAATTGCTCCCCCCTCCCAGAACTATTTATTTACTGTGTAAGAGAAGTGAACATTCCTAAACGTGCACAATTTTGAATACCGGTATTCTGTAGGGCAGTGCATGTCTGTAAAGTCCTAGCCATATCAGCTTCTAAGATTGTATTTATTTGAGAGAGAGCACAAGCAGGGGGAAGGGGCTAAGGGAGAGGGAGAAGCAGGCTCCCTGCTGAGCAGGGAGCCCAATGCGGGGCTCGATCCCAGGACCCTGAGATC